GCAGGAACTCATTAGCATAATAGGCCACACCCAACAGCAGAAACTCATTAGGATTGAGTACAATAGGGGTGTGTGGCCTAACATGCAAAGGAGTTCCTGTTACAAAAAAAGCCCTGGCCATTTTGACAACAAACAAGGTTAACAGAATAAGAAGCAAATGGTGGGTGTGGCTGGATGACCACACTTCTGGCAACATGGGGGTGCAGCCTAATGTGCTAATGAGCTGTGCTGTCAGGGGTGTGGCCTAATATGCTAATGAGTTCCTGCTGTTGGGTGTGGCCTTATGCTAATGAGTTCCTGCTGGGTTTTTTCTACAAAAAGAGCCCTGTAATCCAACACCCCTTCTTCAACACTCATTTCTTCTTGTTTTGCATCTGCACATACACATGCATTCCCTTTCTTCTGAGTGACACATAATCCTGCTGCCTTTCACTAGGGGGAGAAGGAGGTCATGTTTGCAACCTGCAGCTGAATGGTGCAGGTTTCAGTGCTTGATGCTGATCCCCGAGAGCACCCCAGCCATAATTCAAAATGGCACTTGATTGGTGTGATCAAGTAGGCAACTGGGCACTCTTGATTATTTAGATTTGAGTCCACTAGTATCTAAGAGGCCAACACAAGTTTCAGAGTATAAGGTTCTGAGAGCCAAAGCTCTCTTCCTTAGACAGGAGTAGAGTACAAGTGGAGTCCTTTTATCCTAGTCAGAAGGTGGGAGGGGTGTTGCAGAGAAGGAACTTGGCATGCAGAGGCACAGTGTGCACATTGTAATCTGCTTGATAAGAGCAGGGGGGAAAGGCTTGGAGACAGAAAAATAACATCTGTAGTGAGAAAAAAAAAATCCCGTGTCCCTATTCAGCCTAGTGGGAGTGGTTCCATTGCTCTGAACTTGTAAATTATCTCAAATTCAGCAACTTGTGTTGTAATTTCCCGTTGAAATTTATTTGCTTGAGGACTGCCACTCTTAGGTCAGCAGTGTAATAACCTGGAAGATTAAAATGCTCTCCCACAGGTTTTTGACTGTTGTGATTTTTAATGTCAGATTTATGTCCATTTATTCTTTTAGAATCATAGAGTTGGAAGGGGCCATGCAGACCATCTAGTCCAACCCCCTGCCCAATGAAGGACCAGCCTGCATTTGCGTAGGGACTGACCTGCTTGTCCAGTGTAGAGGTCATTCCTGACAATGAACCTGAGATGGTATGGCTGGTGTTGTTAGGTCCTGTTATTGTGTTGCCAGAGTGGATATGGGGACAGAGCCAGCCGATATTTTTAATAACTGTATTATGTTGTATTATTGTATTTTTATACTGTTCTTATCTTTTTAATCTGGCATTTATGCCCTTGTTAGCCGCCCTGAGCCTTAGGGGAGGGCGGGATACAAATCTAAAGAATAAATAAATAAAATAAATAACAATCTTGGCTGGTTGCAGGCCCTGGTCCCAGAGTCCATGTCCATGTCAGGAAGGTAGATTCAGGTGGGCAGCCAAATTGGTATGAAGCAATAGAACAAGGTTTGAGTCCAGTGGCACCTTTAAGACCAACAAAGTTTAATTCTGGGCATAAGGTTTTGTGTGCATGCACCCTTCGTCAGATATATTGAAACAGTTTTTCTCAAGCCTTGCATATAGGTAGAGAGAGGATGGGGGGTGGGGTGGGCAGGGGTCATTTCCTGCAGGAGCGCACAGGAGCGGAGCTCCGGCAGTAAAGAGCCCAGGGGGCGGGCACATGCAACAAGCCACACACCCCCTCCCAGCAGCCCTCAGTCAGAGCAAGAAGCAGCCAGGTAAGCTGCAGAGCTCCCCCTGCCCCCCCTGTCCAAAACAGTCCAGTGGTACCTTTAAGACCAAGTTTTATTCAGGTATAAGCTCTCCCTCCTCTGCGAGGACATATCTGCATGTCCCCCCCCCCAAAAACAGCTAGCAATCCAAAACAGTCCAGTGGAGCCTGAGCGGTGGGTGTTGCCTTCTGCCACACTTCCAGTGATGTCAGGGGGTGTGGCATACACAAATAAGTTATGCAAATAAGTTACGCTAATGAGCTCCTGCACCTCTTTTTCTATGAAATGACCCCTGGGGGTGGGGTTAGTTGCTTTCCTGGGTCTATTCTGTAGCAGGTTATCCCTTGGTATCATTCCAGACAATGGATCGTTTGGTGTATTTAGGATAGTGACTGGAGGCATTAGATATGTTTGGCGATCAGTAGGTTTCCAGTATAAGGTGGTTTTTATGCTTCCATGAGGTATATGTACAGTGCTGTCTAGAAAGTGTATTTCTTGCTTGGATTGGTTCATGGTCAGGTTGATGGTGGGGTGGAAACTGCTGAAGGCGAGGTGTCATTTCTTCAGGGCTTCTTTCCCATGTGTCCACATGAAAAAAGGTCATCAGTAAATCTGAGGTACAAGAAGGGTGTTAACAGATGGCAGCTGAGGAAGCACTGCTCTAGGTTACCCATGAAAATGCTGGCATATTGTAGTGCCACATTGGGTGCCCATGGCTGTACCATTGATCTTAAGGAATAGATCTTAACCAAATTGGAAATAGTTGAGGGTGAGGTCAGCTGTGCTGTTGTCAGAGTCAGAGATGGTGTTTCTAGTAGCTTATAGTCCATTTTTGTGGGGGATGCTGGTGTGTAGAGACTCAGCATCCATGGTGGTAAAAATAGTGTTTCCTGGAAGATTGTTAACCGATTGTACTTTTCTCTGGAAGTCTGTGGTGTTTCGCAGATAACTGGAGGCTTTGATGGCAAAGGGTCTGAGAATATATCCATATATCCAGGCACCCCTACAGTGATGGGGCCTGTCCCTGAGACAATAGGATGTCCTGGGTTGCTGAGCTCGTGTATTTTGGGCAGAAGATTAAAAAAAACGCCTGGTCGAACTTCCTGCAGTATGTCCATATTAGATCTGTTGGTTGATTATGGTGACAAACACTGGCGAGGATGAGGAGGTGGTCTCTTTAGAAAGCCCCTTGAATAAACCAACAGCATGCTATCTTGCATCTTGTTCATGCTCTTTGTCCCGATTTCTAATCTTCTTCTTTATGCTCCATCACTGTGCCCTGTACATTTTCTGCTGTGGCTTGCAGCCTGACTCATTCCTTTTCATACATCATAACACCCATTGTAATGTGTCCGATCCATTCTTTATTCCTGATAAAAGTTTATTTCACTGCCATGTATTTCCAGTCATGGTTTTCTTTTTTTATTATTATTTTAATTGTTTTCTAATATAAGTATGCCAATGTTGACCATCATCATTTCATCTTTACATTTTTGCAGAGATCTTCATAAAGCTCAAAGAAGGCGGGGAAATATATATATTTTTAAAATTACCTTTGGTTTTTACACTGTTAGCTTTTACATAGCCAAAAATAAACCTTATTCATTAAATTAAACCAAAATTTGACTCTTTCAACCATCTATAAAAACCAGACCAATAATTTTCAA